GGGCGGCGGAAATGCCCCGTGCGCTGACCTGCCTGCCGCTGCCTGGCATCCCTGCCCGCAGCCCCACCTGGACGCCCTCAAGAAGTACACCTATGGCAAGCACATTGTGACCAAGGCCGAGGCGATGCTGACGGCGCAGGCGGCAGCCGAGGAGGCTGCCGCCGCAGCCGCCGCCGCCGCTGCGGCCCGGCAGGAGCCCGAGCAGCCGCCCGAGGGGCAGCAGGAGGGTGGGGCTGGCGTGGCCGCCCAGCTGCCCCTGCCCGTGCCGCTGCCGCCAGCCGAGCGTGCCGGTGCTGAGCTGGCGGCGTGAGGGCGGCCAGCCTCCTCGCCTGCCGGCGCTCCCAGGTGGCAGCGCCGCTGCTCCTGATTTGATCGAGGGGCGGTGCCGCGCATTCAAGTGCGCCCCGCCCGCCTGCATTCATGCTTGCAGCTTTGCTTTTGTTGTTTTGTGTGCGAGCCCGGCTGTGGGCTCCAAAGCCGACGCAGCCCGGGCATGTCTGGCCCGGTTTCATTCATCCAGAGCCCCTTCCTTTGTAGCACTAGTGTCCCAAGCTTGTTTGCTTGTTGGCTCCTGCCGCCGCCCCCTTTTGCTCCTACGATACTAAGCTGCTAAGCTGGCTGGCCTGGCAGGCTGGCCTGGCGCCAGGACGCCAGCGCCGGCGCCCCCTCCCCTTCCCCTTTGCTGCCCGCCGGACTGCTCTCCTGGCCTCAACACTTGCTGCATGTCTCTCTGCCCTCCCCTGTCCTCACTGGAGCCTCCGCAGCAACGAACAACGCAGTTGCCGCCCTGCACCTGACGCATGCCCGTTGACTCATCGATAACGACGGCAATACGACGCACTGCCCGCCCTGCGCCTGCCTCCTTAAGGCTTAAGCTTGTCGGCCCCTCGGCTGGTTGCGCTTCCCCTTTCTCCTGCGGCGCTGCCTAGTGCGGCAGCAGCCTGAACCCAATCTCAAGGCCTCTCTCCTAGTAGTGCAACGCAGCATCCCGAACGATCAGTCGAAGAGAGGGCTGCAATCCCACTCCAGGGAAGGAGTGGCGGTTGGGAGGCGCAGGTGGCGGGCGGTCCCGGCCGCCGCCGTCGTGCATGCTGTGGTTGTGAGGGAGGCCTCCTGCGGCGATTCCATACACATTCACCGCCCTCTGCGTTGACCATGCAGGGCATGAAGGCCCGCCAGCCTGACAGGGTTTTGAGCCAGCCCCATTGAATACGGGCCTCAGGCCCCTGCACGCCGCCTGATGCTGTCCCGCAATCCTGAGACCCGCGCGCAGCTGAATCCGGCGCGCAAGGGGCGGCCCGTGGCCAGCAGCAGGGCGGTGCGGCTGGGGGTGGTTGCCGCGTTTGCGGCGCTGCTGCTGTATTCCACGCACAGTGTGGGACGATCGGGCAGCCGGGAGCTGCTGGAGGAGGCCAGCGAGGGCGATGATGATGGGCCCCAGCTGGCTGGGGCGTCGCTGGTCGGCGGCGGCGTCGGCAGCGGCGGCAGCAGCAAAGAGGCCTCGCTGGCAGTCCAGCCGCCCGTGCGGCGCAAGTATGGGCTGTCGGACGGGGAGATTGAGGCCGCGGTGCTGGCGGGCAGCCAGCAGCACGGCGAGGTGAGCAAGGCGGGGCCGCTGCCCGCTGACTTTTGGACCGCCGACAAGCGGCCCTGGCGGGAGGAGGTGTTCAATGCCATGGTGGCGCGAGGTGGGTGCTGGCTGGCTGAGTGCCAGCGCGCAGCCTGCTTGCTTGCTGCGCCCGGCAGGCACAGGGCGCCTGGGGTTGGGTGCGCCGCCGAGGAGGGCGCCCTTACTAATTGCTTGCCACTCGGATCCCCGCCGCCGCCGTCTCCCCACCACACGAGAAGCCGCCGCGGCAGCCTCTTCCACCTGCTCGGCTGCCCCGCTGGGCTCCCCCTCCTGACGCACGCGTCCCCCCCCGTCGCGCGTTGCGCCCCTGCCTGCAGACATGGCCCAGCCGCGCAGCTCCGAGTATTGGGAATCGGATGCGACGGGTGAGCTGGCGCTCAAGCCGCTGGCCCTGCCCTTCCCGCTGTGCCACACGTATGTCAACCACAAGTACAAAGTCATCTTCATAATCCACCCCAAGAGGTGCGGCGGCGGCGGCGGCTGGCGCGCGCGGGCCCACGGGACAGCGCGCGCAGGCTGGCTGGCGGGGGCAGGCAGGCGTGCGGCGTCTGCTGCGGGGCCGAGGCTGCGGCTGGGGGCTGCCGGCCGAGCGCCGCGCCCAAACCCCCGTGCTCCCTGCCCGCCCCGCCGCCTGCGCGTGCACACCCCCGTTGATTTTGGTTTTTGTCTGCATTTCATGTGTGTGTGTTTGTGTGTGTGTGTGTGTGTGCAGCGCCTCCACCGCCACCAAGCGGTACATGACGCTGTGCCGCCTGGAGCGCACCGACAGCTGCCTGTCACCGCTGGAGAACGCCACGGAGCTGGCGCCGCTGGAGGAGCGGTGGCGGGAGTACTTTGTGTTCACATTTGTGAGCTAGCTGCTGGGCTGCTGGGAGAGCTGCTGGGCTGGGCGCCTGCCCGGCCCTGGCCGCTGCTGCGGAGGCGGCGGCGCCGTGCTGCGGGTTGCCGTGCCGCCTGCTGTGGCGCCCGCCGGCTGCCGACGTGGCTGCGCTGCGATGGCACAGCACTGCATGGCTGCTGCCTGCTGTGCTGCCTGCTGTGCTGCCTGCCTGCCTGCCTGCCTGCCTGCCTGCCTGATGCCTGCTGCCCCTTGGCTGGCTGCGAGCGGCTGGCCCGCTGCGGTCGAGCGTGTGGTTCCCGCGCCGCCGGCGAGCGCCTTGCGCGTGCCTTCTGGCGCCTGCTGGCTGCAGGTGCGCAACCCTTGGGTGCGAGCCTACTCCAGCTGGAAGTTTCTGAGGGAGGGCTTTATGCTGCGGGCGGGGTCCACGGGGCGGCGAGGCGCCGCCGCCGCGCCCTGCGCCGCCGCCGCCTGGCGCGACTTCTGTGGCGACCCGCTGCTGCTGGGGCGGCTGTGCCTGGCGCAGCCGCACTGCTGCCCCGGGTGAGGCGGCCGGCGGCTGGCTGCGGGCCGCGCCGGGGAGCCTCAGCCCTCTGCGCGCGGCGGCCCCTCTCCCTGCCTTGCGTCCCCTGCCTGCCTCGACCCCTCTCCCTCCCTCCCTGCCTCGGCCCTGTACCACACTGCTGCCCCTCCTTCCCGCCCCCGCCCCTGCCCCTGATGCCTGCCCCTGCTGGCCCCGCCCCCGCAGCAAGGAGAAGGCCCACTTCATGTTCTACCACATCACCGACCAGGCCACCTGCCTGCTGACAGCTGGCGGCCAGCTGGCAGTGGACTTCATCGGCAGGGTGGAGGCGGTGGATGAGGACATGGCGGCAGCGGTGCGCCTCATCAACAGCCGCCTGCCGCAAGGTGGGCAGGGCGGGGCCGCGGCTGGTGTGGTGGGGGTGTGGAGGCTGGGGCGGGGAGGAAGGGCACGGGGCTGGCCTGGCGGCTGCCTGCCGCCGGCGTGGGTGTGTGCAAGCGGCGACCCTTCCCTGCCTGCCTGCTCCCTACTGGATCTTCACGCCACCACCGCCGCCGCCGCGCGCTGCCCGCAGGCGTGGCTCCCCTGGAGCTGCCGCAGGGGGTGCAGGCGCGCAACGTGGGGCCGCAGGGCGGCGGGCAGGCACCCGACAACGCGCGCTACCTGCCCGCCTTCCAGGGCGCCAACGCCACCTGCTTCTCCAGGCTGGCGCGCTTCTACGCCAAGGATGTGGCCCTCATGTTCCCAGCCCTGGCAGCGGAGGAGGAGGAGGCGGGGAGGGAGGCGGCGGCAGGGGCAGGAGCCGCGGCAGGGGAGGGTGGGGCTGGTTGACTTTGCATTCGCTCTATTGCTTTCAGCCTTCTTTCTCCCACTGTTCGGCTCGTTGTAAGCGGAACGCAAGCTGGCCTCTGAGCTCAGCGCATGCGCTGAGCGGCGACGTGGCGGTGGAAAGATCAGCCTACCAGATGCAGGGCCTGGCTCAGCACAGTGGCTCTTCTACTTCACCTCTGCGCTCCTGCAGCCTTGGACGAGCCAGGCAGAGGCCCCAGCCGCACCTAGGTTCTCGTGACTGCCACAGCTCCTCCGCTCTCTCCTGCTGACTGCTGTCTCGGGCCCCAGCAGGCACCTGGCACTGATTTGAAGCACGCACAAGGCAAACTGGCTGGTGCCATCGAGGTGGGCAGGCGAGCCGCCGCTCTTGGGACGGCGCCGCTCACCACGGCTGCCAATCTTCCTGCAGATGAGTCTAATGTATGAAGCGGTTTCAGCAGTTGTTCGCAGCAACGTGCAACGGCTGCAGGCGGCACTCAGCCAGCAGCCCAGCCTACTCACCGACAGGGACCGCGACAGCCGCACGCTGCTGCACAGGGCAGCATTCATGGGCAGCACAGAGTGCCTGCGAGTGTTGCTGGCAGCTGGCGCCTGCACCGAGGTGACCAGCACTGACGGGGGCATGACAGCTCTTTGGTCGGCGGCGTGTCAGGGTCAAGAGGCCTGCGTGCGGGAGCTGCTGGCGGCAGGGGCAAACATTGAAGCGGCTGCCAGCAACGGGAAGAGGGCGCTGCACGCTGCCGCCCGCCAAGGACACCTGGGCTGCCTGCGGCAGCTGCTGGACGCTGGCGCTGACGTCGATGTTGTGGAGGATGATGGGACAACGCCATTAATGCTGGCAGCTTGGCAGGGCCATGAGGCATGTGTGCAGGCATTGCTGGCAGCGGGGGCAAACGTGGAGACAGCTTTCAATGATGGGCTGAGGGCCCTGCATTGTACAGCAGCAAAAGGGCACACGGCATGCCTCAACCTGCTGATCGCTGCCCATGCCAGCCTTGAGGCAGCCGACAGGCTTCAGCAGACAGCCCTGCACTGGGCAGCAGCACACGGTCGCCTACCGGCCATTCGCTGCCTGGTTGCGGCAGGGGCTAGCATGGCTCTGCAGGATGTGGAAGGCCTCACCCCTCGCATGCGTGCAATCAAGCATAACCAGCGGGAAGCAGCACTGCTGCTGTTGAAGCTGGAGCAACAGCAGGCGGCAAAGTGGCAGCGAGGTGCCCCCAGCAGCAGGCAGCAACGCCAGGAGCAGGCTGAAGCCCCATCCTCCACAGCTGCTGCCCAGCTGCTGGCAGAGGAGGAGCGCGAGGAGAAAAAGCAGGCGGCCAGGCAGGCCGCCAAGGCCGCCAAGCGGCAGCAGCAGAAAGAACGGCAGCGCCAGCGGGCTGCTGTGTCGGCAGGAGAGGCGGGTGAAACTACCCCGGGCCAGGCGGAGGTGCCAGAGCCGGCTTCTCAGCAGGCAGAAGACGAGTGGGTGGCAGCTGCTGGCGCGTCCACGCTGGCTCTGGCGGCGCCAGAGACGGCGCAGCTTGCGGCTCCAGCCATGCTCGTCACTGCCACTGCCGCCAGTGGCAGCCAGCACAGCAGTGGCAACAAAAAGAAGAAGAAGAAGAGGAACAAGGGAGGAGCGCAGACGGTGGCAGCCCAACTAAGCGCTCAGGCAGCAGCTGGAAGCACTAATGCCACCATTACCGGGGGAGCTGAAGGGGCACCAGCAGAAGCAGCAGCGTCAGCGGCTGGAGGCAGCAGCGGTGCCGACGACGGTGCCGAGCTGGCGCAGCTGCTGCAGCAGCTGGGAGTGCAGCCAGCAAGGGAGGATCCCTCCTTCGCTGCCGTCAGCAATCAGCAGGGGAGAGCCCCTTCTTCGCAGCCACGAGCGCGGCAGAAGCGGCACCAGCACCAGGCAGCCCCGCCGCGGGCGCTGCACCAGCAGGCCAGGCCTCTCTTCCTGCCGCTGCCAGCCTGCCCCCTGGCCTGCTCAGCGAGCTGCTGTGCCCCATCACCCAGGAGCCGATGCGTGACCCCGTGGTGGCGGCGGATGGGCACACCTACGAGAGAGCCGCCATCGAGGGTGGGTGGGTGGGGGCGGAGGGAGCACAGCGGCAGCCTGCGCACGCCTGTGCCCAGCGGCGTGTTTCGTCATGCCATGTTCCCTCTTGTCTGCTGGCACCCGTTCCAGCCCACCCCTTTGCCTCCCTCTCTGCCTGCCCTGCAGCCTGGATGGCACGCCAGGCAGCGGCGGGCCAGCCGCCCTGCTCCCCGCTGACCAACCTGCCGCTGGCGAACCTGGTGCTGCTCCCGAACTTCACTGTGCGCAGCCTGGTGCTGGGGCTGCAGGCGGTGGGGCTGCTGGAGTGAACCAACCGGGCAGCACTGCCTGTTCTGCTTGCTTGCTTGAGCTTGTCAAAACACACAACAGACCCACAACCAAATGCCAGAGAACACAAGGGTGCACCCGGCCCCCGGCAGCCAGCCTCGCCCATTAATCACCATCACGGCCAGGCAAGGGTGAGCGGGCTGCCAGCCGCTGTGACAGCAGAACAGCTCCCCTGCCACCCCAATTCCCAATTCCCAACCCACAAATTTTACTTTTTCGAACGATCGAATCAATCAAAGCGCGCCCGCGGATATTCAAACAGCCTGCAGATATTTTCATATCAGCAGACTGACTTTTCACCCACCTGTCACAGATTTTCCCTCGCCCGTTCGGTTTTTTGCCGACAGCTGGCTAGCAGCCAGACTATATAAGGAGCCTCGATGCCCTGACAAGATCATCTTTTCTCTCCCTTTGTGCTGGAGTGCCCCTGTGTAATAACAGGCGCCCGCCGCCCCAGCCCCGCCCGAAGGAGAAGGATCCTGCCGCTGCGACCAGCGCTCGGCAGTCACCCCAGCGCTCTCACGAGGCTCCCCGCTCTCACACAAAGACAAAACAGGCCGGCCGGAACCTTCTGGACCCGCGCCGCCTTTTTGCACCACAGCCACGGCAACAGAGCTGCTGCCCCGCCCCTCCCGCAGAGCAATCACCCAGCAACAGCAGCAGAATGCAAGCCTTTGGCCCCCTCCCCTCCTTGCCGCTGTCATTTGCCGCCAGCCTCACAGCCCAGCGTCAACCGTGGAGCAGAGCAGCGGCGCTGCGTACTGCACACAAGCCGAGCCGTGCACAGAACTGCTCCCTTGTACACCACCCCTTGCTGCCTCCTCATTTACACGGGCTGAAACATTGCATCGGCTTCCCGGGAAGGGCGGGGGGGTCAAATGGCATTCAAGTGCACTCACACAGCAGGCAGGGGAGAGTAGCAGGCGCAAGTCACGCTGGTTTGCCGGGTCTCCACTCCTTGCCCAGCGCACACAGCGGCAGCGGCGATGTGGCGGTGGAAAGCTCAGCCTTGCCAGAAGCAGGCCAGCTCAGCGGCCCTTCTGCTTTGCCTGTACCTCTCGCAGCCTTGGACGAGCCAGGCACAGCCCCCAGCCGCACCTAGGTACTCGTGACTGCCACAGCTCCTCAGCTCTCTCCTGCTGGCTGCTGTCTCGGTCCCCAGCAGGCACCTGGCGCTGCCCTGAAGCACGCACGAGGCAAGCTGGCTGATGCCGCTGCGGTGGGCAGGCGACCCGCTCCTCAGCCGCCGCTCTTGGACTGCGCCGCTCACCACGGCTGCCTCTTCCTGCAGATGACTTTGCTGGAGGAAGCGTCTTCAGCAGTTGTTCGCAATGACGTGCACTGGCTGCAGGCAGCACTCAGCCAGCAGCCCAGCCTACTCAATGACAGGGACCGCAGCGGCTACACGCTGTTGCACAGGGCAGCATTCATGGGCAGCACAGAGTGCCTGCGGATCTTGTTGGTGGCTGGTGCCTGCACCGAGGCGACCAGCACTGACGGGGGCCTGACAGCTCTTTGCTGGGCGGCGCATCAGGGCCATGAGGCCTGCGTGCGGGAGCTGCTGGCGGCGGGGGCAAACACTGAAGCGGCTGCCGTGGTTGGGAGGCGGCCGCTGCACGATGCCGCCCACCAAGGCCACCTGGGCTGCCTGCGGCAGCTGCTGGACGCTGGCGCCGATTGCAACGTCGTGGATGATGGTGGGGCAACGGCATTGATGTGGGCAGCCAACAATGGGCATGCACCGTGCCTGCAGCCGTTGCTGGCAGCTGGGGCCAGCACTGAGGCAGCAGACCGGCATGGGCAGACCGCGCTGCTGTTGGCAGCGTGTGACGGTCACGAGGCATGTGTACAGGCATTGCTGGCAGCGGCGGCAAACGTTGAGGCGGCTTGCAATCGTGGGCTGAGGGCCTTGCATGGTGCAGCGGCAGAAGGACACACGGCCTGCCTCAGTCTGCTGATCGCGTCCCACGCCAACCTTGAGGCAGCGGACAGCCGCCACCAGTGGACAGCCCTGCACTGGGCAGCAGCAGGTGGCCACCTGCCAGCCATTCGCTGCCTGGTTGCGGCCGGGGCGAGCATGGCGCTGCGGGACAAGGAAGGCCTCACCCCTCGCATGCTCGCAATCAAGCATAACCAGCTGGGAGCAGCGAAGGTGCTGCTGAAGCTGGAGCAGCAGCGGGCGGGAAGGCGGCAGCCGGGTGTGACCAGCAGCAGGGCCCCACGCCGGGAGCAGGCTGAAGCCCAGGGTGCTGGCCCAGCCTCCACAGCTGCTGCCGAGGCTGCAGCTGAGGCTGCTGCTGCCCAGCTGCTGGCAGAGGAGGAGCGCGAGAGGCGGCAGCAGGCGGCCAGGCAGGCCGCCAAGGCCGCCAAGCGGCAGCATCAGAAGGAGCGGCAGCGCCAGCGGGCTGCTGTGCCGGCAGGAGAGGTGGGTGCGATTGCCGCACCGCAGGCTGCGGTGGCAGACCTGACCCCGCAGCAGGTGGAAGCAGGCAGGCCCAGGCCAGCAGCGGCAGCAGCAAGCGCCACCGCCACCCCCGTGCCAGAGGAGAGGCCTCCAGAAGAACCGGCGGTGGAGGCAGCCAGAGGCAGCAGCACAAAGGAGAGCTCGCCAGCACCAGCAGTACCTGCCGCACCTGCAACAGGAGCAGCTTGTACGGCAGAGACGCCAACCACAGCAGAAGCGGCACCAGTGGTTGCACCTCCGACAGCAGCACCCGCTGCCCCCTCCCCAGCAGCGGCAGGCGTCAGGGTGTGCGCAGCAGAGGGTTGCGGCAACACGAGCGGCCTGCGTCGCTGCAGCAGGTGAGCTGTGCCCTGGGTTGCAGAGGCAGAGAGGCTGTCAGCCCTGGGCTGCCCTATGTTGTCCCGCAGGCTGCCTGCCTGCCTGCCTGGAGTTGATGCTTCCGTGCACTGTCCCGCCTGCTTGCTGCCTGCAGGTGCAGGGCTGTGAGGTACTGCAGCGAGGCCTGCTCCCATGCGCACTGGAAAGCGCACAAGGCAGAGTGCCGGCGCCTGCACACCGCTTCGGCCGCTGCCCAGCCCTGAGCCGCGGCCCACAGCGTTGCGGCGCCCGCCTGCCCACACGATTGCGCCGCCTGGCCGCCTGCGTGGCGCTTGGAGCCAGACCGGGCGGCGACCCTTCCCTGCCTTGCTGCTGCGAGTGAAGCCCTTTCTTTGCTCTGCTTGTTTTCAACACGGATGTTCAAAGTGGAAGAAAGTCTGGCAGCGCCTGGCCGCCAGGCCCACTTCGTCTTGCCCTGCCGCAGCCACGGCGCAGCATGCAGGCTGAGCGGCGTGTGAGAGGCTGACGGGTTGCCTGCCCGTGCGGTGTGTGAGAGGCTGAGTCAGCACCGCTGCACCGTGGGTTGCCTGAAGCTGTGGAAGTGCCACACCTGCTCACCCCAGCAGCCCGCTTGGTGTCCTGCCACCAAGCTGCCACCAGCGCCAGCACCGGGGCAAGGGCCCAGGTGCGCCGTTGGCAGGTGGGAGCGGAGCAGGCACCCACCCCGCTGCCACCTGCAGCACGATCCACACCGCGCGGGGGAAGGGCAGGCAGGCAGCTCAGCAGGCGCCACCTGCCCACCTGCGCTGCCACACAAAGCTGGACTGCCGCACCGGTTCCGCCCCGACTGGTGCGGCTGGGGTGGTTGTGAGCAGCGCCAAAGTGTGGTGGCCGCCGCTGCTGCCGCCGGCTGGCCTCTGCCGCTGCTCCTCTGTTGAGCTCTTCTGGGGTAAGAAAGGTTCGTGCGGTTGAGCGAGGAGGAGCGGCGGCAAACCAGCCGCGGCAACCAGCCTTGCTTTGGGTGTGCTTCGTTGCCGCACTCCTAGGCGCTTGCGGCGAGGCTGCTGGTGCGTTGCTGGCCGGGCACGGCAGGCTGGGAAGGGGCTGGGGAGGGTACAGGTGCCGCAGGAGGGGCCACTCTCGCCCTGGCTGTCGAAGGCTGGCCACTGTGGGTGTGGAGCACGGAGGGCAGCATGTCTGCGGGTGCTTCTGGTTGCCTCCAGCAGCTGCACCTCGTGCTTTGCCCCTCTTGCCAGCTTTGCCCTCGCCCCCCCTTCCCGCCTGTCTTTGTGCCGTCCCCCTTGCACGCCCGCCCCCACCACATTAAACACAGCAGCTTGTTTCCCAGTGTCAAAGGGTGGTGTTGAATAACACCAGTTTGTTTTTTTGGTGGTGAAGGGATGAGCCGTCAGCTGGAGAGAGAGCGCCGTGCGCTTAAGCGCGCTCGCCACGGATGCGGCGGGCCAGCTGGATGTCCTTGGGCATGATGGTGACGCGCTTGGCGTGGATGGCGCACAGGTTGGTGTCCTCGAACAGGCCCACCAGGTAGGCCTCGGCGGCCTCCTGCAGCGCCAGCACGGCGCTGGACTGGAAGCGCAGGTCGGTCTTGAAGTCCTGGGCAATCTCACGGACCAGGCGCTGGAAGGGCAGCTTGCGGATCAGCAGCTCCGTGGACTTCTGGTACTTGCGGATCTCGCGCAGGGCCACGGTGCCGGGCCTGTAGCGATGGGGCTTCTTCACACCGCCGGTGGCGGGGGCCGACTTGCGGGCGGGCCTTGGTGGCCAGCTGCTTCCGGGGCGCCTTGCCACCGGTGGACTTGCGGGCGGTCTGCTTGGTGCGGGCCATGGTG